AATGACATCATAATAAATGTTGACATTTTCATTTTTAGGTGAACTAGCCTTTTAACTACAAGCTTAAACAGAAAGCCTCCACTGGTCAACAAGCTTCACAAGAAATAGCATGCTGGTTGATGGTAATTCATGCCTGCCTTTTCTCAGACTTGTTTATTTTTTCAGATGATTATGCTAGAAAAAGTGGAAATGTGATGGTAAATCAGAAAAATATCCACCGTCGTAGGATGCAAATTATGATTTTGTACTGTTGTTTGATTAGAATAATTCGCTGGTTGTTTACTCTGCAATGGTAGTAATGAAATCTCAGAGGCACAGAAGCATCATCTGAGTTGGAATGAAAGAATGGACCTAAACACAGAGCCTCCACTGAGTAATTCCATAGAGTACATGGGGAAACTCTCCATCTGTTGGTAAAGCAGACTGGTTCAGCTCTGGTGTAAGAGAACAGATGTAGCAGATTCATCAGAGATCATATGATAGACCACATCCTGTCTATCAGTTCTCAGATTCCCTACAGAGAGGCAACCAGTAGTTTCACAGAATTTCAACTAAATAGCAAAGGTCCAGTTCACAAAGAAGCTTGTTCTAGCCAAGAGTCTGATTATGTAAAGTGATCAACCACAGTTTATTTTATGTTTACTCTGAAATATATTACACCACAATAATAGACTAGAGTGGAGAAAATTATTATATTATATGAAATATTATATACACTACTGTTCAAATTTTTGGGGGTCAGTAAGACTTTTTTAAGGAATTAATACTTTTATTCAGCAAAGGATGTATTAAATTTGTCAAAAGTGGCAGTAAAGACTTTTAAATTGTTACAAAAGATTTTTTGTTACAGAAGTCTTTTTATTTTTTAAAGAATCCTGAAAAATATTATAGTTTCCACAAAAATATTAAGCAGAACAACCGTTCTTACCATTGATAATAATAAAAACTATTTCTTGCACCCCTTGCAATTAGTGTTTTACTGTGTTTTTGATCAAATAAATGCAGCCTTGGCTAGCATAAGACACCTCTTTCAAAGACATTCAAAAATCTTGTCAACCCCAAACATTTGAATAGTAGAGTATAATTTAATCTAATAAAAAAAATATTATAGAAAAACATTTTCTTCCCAATTCAAACCAGCAAACACTAGAAAAATATAGGAAAATGTGTAGTCTGATTAGAATTTCTACACACTTTTATACACTAAAAACTCCAGTGCTAAACATAACTATTTTAAAGGACATTCTATAGGAAAACAACTTCCACAACTTTCTACCAACCACCCAGAGGTGCCTGATACATCAGGAAGCCCTGCAGTCATTTCCTCTGTAAAGTCTGAGATGTTTCCCTCAGGAGCATGGCTGATTGACAGGGTTAAGTGCTGTTCCTGTCTCTCCCCAAGATCACAGACAGATGCAGATCAGTCGTGACACTATGGGCAAATTATGGCTTCCCCTCATGTCAATCAAACCAAATTTGCTCTCATTTGTTTAAGACCCCTGAAGGAGGCGCCAACCTCTTTGCTAACCTGATGCCACAAAAGCATTTGTCTCTGTGAAAAGAAAGAGACAAACACCCAGAAGATGCACACTGATGGTCACAGCTGTTAAAAACTAACACAGCTTGAGCTTTTGGATCGTATCAGCACAACCTAAGCTGATCATCAGTATAGCAGCACTCTTTCACATGTGATGTTTCTCAAATGAATCAAATAATGACAAAACATCATACTCTCAGCCTTTTCCCAGTCATTACATTGCTAATTTTTTTCCCTGGTGGAATACATATGTAAATGAAGAAGAATGCCAAAATATTAAATGCAATGGATAAATATTTACTGAGTAATCCACTATTTTGTGAAAGGGGGTCAAAATGACACTTTTCACCTGAGATTTTGAGCCAAATTACAGAGGGAAATTATGATGGGTCTATCAGTAAAATCTGTTGACTTTAGCAATCCTTGTTACATTATATGCCAATGGTCACAGTTCAAAAATGGGAAAAAAGCACTACTGAGATATACAGTATCTCACAGAAGTGAGTACACCCCTCACATTTTTGTAAAAATGTTATTATATCTTTTCATGTGACAACACTGAAGAAATGACACTTTGCTACAATGTAAAGTAGTGAGTGTACAGCTTGTATAACAGTGTAAATTTGCTGTCCCCTCAAAATAACTCAACACACAGCCATTAATGTCTAAACCGCTGGCCACAAAAGTGAGTACACCCCTAAGTGAAAATGTCCAAACTGGGCCCAAGTTGAATTATTTTGAGGGGACAGCAAATTTACACTGTTATACAAACTGTACACTCACTACTTTACACTGTAGCAAAGTGTAATTTCTTCAGTGTTGTCACATGAAAAGGTATAATAAAATATTTACAAAAATGTGAGGGGTGTACTCACTTCTGTGAGATACTGTATTTAATACTTCTTGAGTTAGGCTTCACTGAATGAGGCATGGAAACTGCATTAACTGTCACCACTGGCATTTAATGCAACAAAGATCGCTACAACAGTCAAGTCAACAGATTTGACTCACAGACCAACCGATCTCTGTGTAAAAATAACAGTGATGCTGCCATCTTTCTAAAGTCATTCCATATTTTTGGACGTTTGTGCAACTTGACACAGACTGACCCTATTCTCACTTAAATCCAATATATTAGGATCTGTATAACATATAAAACTCTAATTACAGACATTTTTGTTGAAAAACATATCCCAGCTGCAATATAAATACTCCTCTCTGCTGGCATCATTACAGCAGGTAATAATTAGCACAGCACCACAACAGCTGGAGTTTCACTTTCCTCTTTCTCTCTCTCTTTCGCTCGGTCTCTCTCACACACACGGGATCAGAGGCCAGGTGGGGACTGGGTGGCAGGTGGTTCTGTTCCCTGTGTCCTGATTGGCTATGACAGCTCTCAGACGACACACAGCTGCCAACATGTCGGCAAACCTCACCTGGGCCATGAAAATGCACACACACACACGCACACACACACACACACACACACACATACACACACACACACACAAAAGTATAGCCTACCAAATATTCATGAACACAACAAACTGATTGACACACACACACACTGTATAGTACATAGGCCTATGGAGACCAACAAAGAGACAGTGCAGTGCAAACACACAAATATCTGCTACACAGAAAGTACAAAGCAAAAATAATGTGTCCTTGTAGAGCACATAAATCACAACAGTGCAGCACCGTGAACAGGGCTGTCTGTGATCAAATAATGCTGATGCAATGAGTACCAGCAGTCTGGTCTCAATGTGCGACTGAATCAAAGAGCACAGGGACACGATTCCTCTCAACACACACATACACAGGGTCTCGTTCGGATACAACAGCCTTCTCATGGTAAATTTCTGCAGGATTCACAACACTGCATGCACATAAATGGGCTCTTTTCCTCATTCTAATGTTAAATCCTCACTGCTAAAATTATTCTAAATAAGGAAGCGTGTGCCCACGTTAATTAATTTAATACACGCCTAAACATCTACATATACTAAACATCTTTATATAGTCCTAGACTACCCGTGATTGACTGCATCAAATAAATTTGTTACTCTAAAAAAGTAAGTATATTCTTTTTTTATATGACAAACATATATAATACAATATAATATAATATAATATAATTAGGGATGTAACGATTCACTCAACTCACAATTCGATTCACGAGTTTGATTTCACGATTCGATTTACGATTTTTTTTTTTTTTTACAAAATGAGATTTAAGACTAATTATAAATTAAATGTGTCCTTTTATTATTGCTTGGACAAAATGCTGCACATTTCTTTGTGCCGTCCTCATTACTTCTGTAGAACACCATGAACGGGTCAGAGCGGCCAAAGAAGTCTTTCTTATCCAGCTTATTGGCACAGAACTGCATTGTTGCACAGTCCTGAGAGGTTGAGAGAAAGAACGAAAGAAACAAAGAACAAGGGGGAAAGGGAAGGAAAATGGAAGGTAAAAGATAGAAATAGCGCAGAGAGCAGCTAAATCTAGTGAAATCAGAGGCATGTTGCTTTTTCTTGTGCAGCTTAGATGAATGATGAGATTCTGGACCTTCAGGCACAATTCACCCCCCACCATGTCTATACAGCACAGCCATATACTGTATGTGTACACATATTTTTTAAAGTCATATGCTTCAGACTCACACTCCATTAAAAGCTTTAAAGGGGTCATATGATGCGATTTCAAGTTTTTCTTTCTCTTTGGAGTGTTACAAGCTGTTTGTGAATAGATAAGATCCCTAAAGTTGCAAATACTAAAGTCTCAAACCCAAAGAGATATTCTTTATAAAAGTTAAGACTCGTCCACGCCCTCCTAAAACGCCTCGTTTAAACACGCCCCCACATGTCTAGGTCACTGTGTGGGAAGATTTGCATAACGCCGCCCAAATGTTCATGCAAAGAAAGAAGGCATAACTTTGATTATCGCTGTAGTATTGTTGCTGCCGCCGCCGCCATGTCGTTGAGATGCTGTGTGTGTCGTTGTGAAAGCGAAACTACTTTGTTTGGCCTTCCAAAAGAGGACGATATC